TACCCCCCCCCCCCCCCCTCCTTTTCCTTACCGTTACAACCGAGAAGGTGCCTCCGGGAGTCGCTGCCCAGACGTACTTGGCGTCCGTGTAGCCGACGACGGCCGAGTCCTGGCAGTTTCCATCGGCCATCAGGTTTTCCACATAACAGTGCCAGCCGGACATGGTCTAAATACAGTATCTCCCTCGCTCAACAGAAACAAAAATGAGGAGAAAATAAAATAAGAAACAAAAAAAAAAATAAAATGGGGGGGGGAAAAACAAGAGGGCGGGGGGGGGAAAAGAGGTAACCAGCCCAAAAAAAATAAGAGAGAGAGAAAACTCCCAGCTCACGGATGGTGTGCGTCGAGAAAGGGGAGGGGGAAATAAAAAAATGGCTCTCTTCAAGAAAGAGGGGGAACTTCGAAAGAAAAATAAAGGGAGAAAAGTCAATTCCTTTTTTCGTTTTCCCTTCTTTTGTCCTGTCAAAAATCTATGCAACTTTTTTTTATCCTCTCCCTTTTTTTTCCCCTCCCTCTCTCTTTTCTTTCTTCTCCCTTCGCTCACTCTCTCTCTGGGCTGAGGCGCCGGCTGAGCTTTCCGTTATAATGAGGCGGGGCGGGAGCGAGGAAATCAGGACGCGGAGCGCGCTCCACTCCCCCATTCACCGCCGTCGCCTGCCGCGCGTACGCGTCCCGATTTCCTCGCTCCCGCCGACCCTCGTCCGTCCGCGGCGCCCGGGCCGGGGCCGTGCGCGCGCGGCAGCCGGCTCAGCCGCACTGTTCTCCCCGCCCCATCCCAGGGAGGATAGGAGCCATGGGTGTGGGCCGAATGGTTACAAAGGGAGACGCACACAGAGAACAAGTAATCCTCCAGGTTAACTCCATTCAAAAAGACAGGAGAGATTAGCTACGCTAGACTTTGAGAACATGAGGACATCATTAAGAATGTGATGATGACTGAAGATATTGCCGATTGTCAGGAAAAATCCAACTGGTTCACTGGTTCATTTTTTTTTCTGAAGAATGGTCCAGACCCGAAACGTCAGCCTTCCTGCTCCTCTGCTGCTTGGCCTGCTGTGTTCATCCAGCTCTACACCTTGTTGTCAGATTCTCCAGTATCGGCAGTTCCTACTATCTCTGATTCACTAATGTCCTTTAGGGAAGGAAGTTGCCATCTTTACCTGGTCTGGCTTACCTGTGCCTTCAGACCCACGACTGTGTGGTTGACTCTTAAGGATGGGCAATAAATGCTGCCTAGCCAGTAACACCCTCATCGCATGAATGAATAAAGGAATAAAGGACTCATGTCAATTGCCAACAGATATTTTCTAATCGTCTAGTTCGGGGTTCTGAAGAAGGGTCACCGGAATCGAAATGCTAACTCTGCTTTCTCTCTGTATCCAGGCTGCCAGACCTACTGGGTTTCTCCAGCAATTTCTGTTTTTGTTTCAGATTTTCAGCCTTCCCCATTTGTTCAGAGGGGATCTGACAGAGCTAGGTAAGACTGTGTGGTTATTAGGGTGAACCAAAAGTTGCTGTTTCCCTTAGTCAAAGGGTCACTAACAATGGACAATCACTTTAAAGCGAAAGGCAGCAAGTTCTGAGGGAATTTGAGGAAAATCGTTTTCACCAAGAGGTTGGTGGGGGTCTGGAATGAATTGCCTGGAAAGGTAGTTGAGGCAGCAATCTCACAACTTTTAATAAGTGCTTGGAAGAACACTTGAATTGTCATCACATTCAAAGCTATGGGTTTAGACTGGGAAAGTGTTTGTTTATTCACTCATGGGATGTGGGCATTCCTGGCTGGCCAGCATTTGTTGCCCATATCTGGTTGCCCTTGAGAAGGTGGTGGTGAGCTGCCTTCTTGAACTGCTGCAGTCTGCATGCCCACAAAGCCCTGAGGGAAGAAATTCCAGGATTTTGACCCAGCAACACTGAAGGAACAGCGATATATATCCAAGTCAGGATAATGAGTGGTTTGGAGAGGAACTTGCAAGTGGTGCTGTTCCAATGTATCAGCTGTACTTTTCCTTCTGGATAGAATTGGTCGTGGTTTTGGAAGGTGCAGTCTGAGGATATCTGGCAATTTCAACAGTGCATCTTGTAATTGTACACACTGCTGCTCCTGAGCGTCAGTGGTGGAAGGTATGCTTGCTTGAGGATGTGGTGCCAATCGAGTGGGCTGCATTGTCCTGGATGGTGTCAAACTTCTTGAGGAACAAAATCAGAAATTGCTGGAAAAGGTCAGCAGGTCTGGCAGCATCTGTGAAGAAAAAATCAGAGTTAACGTTTCGGGTCCGGTGACCCTTCCTTAGTTCTCTAAGTTTTTTCTTCACGGAAGCTGCCAGACCTGCTGAGCTTTTCCAGCAACTTCTGTTGCCAGACCTGCTGAGCTTTTCCAGCAACTTCTGTCGCCAGACCTGCTGAGCTTTTCCAGCATCCGCAGTTCTTTCAGTTTTTATCAAGCTTCTTGAGTGTTGTTGGACCTGCACCCATCCAGGTAAGTGGGGAGTGTTCCATCACACTCCTTACTTGCATTTTGTAGATGGTACACAGGCTCTGGGCAATCAGGAGGTGAGTTACCACAGTATTCCTAGCCTCTGACTTGCTCCTGTAGCCACTGTATTTATATGACAAGTCCAGTTGAGTTTCTGGCCAATGGTAACCCCAGGATGTTGATGGTGGGGGATTCAGTGATGGTAGCACCATTGAATGTCAAGTGCCAGTGGTGAGATTGGCTCTTATTGGAGATGGTCATTGCCTGGGCCTGGCATTTGTGAGACATAAATGTTAGTTGCCACTTGACACTCCAAGCCTGGATGTTGTCCAAACCTTATTGCAATTGAACATAGACTGCTTCAGTATCTGAAGAGTCGTGAATGTGATCCGTGAACATCCCCACTTCTGACTTTACAATGGAGGGAAAGCAGTGTACTTTTGGTGGTATAGACTCAAATGAGCTGAATGGCCTTTTCTGTACTGCATGATTCTATGTAATGACACACATTTGGCATGGTAGGACTTGAATTCGGTCTCCTGGTTCAGAGATAGGGACATTACCACTGAACCACAAGAGCCCCCTGTCAATCGGAACTTCATTTCAGATTGAATTAGAAACAGGACTCAGACCCTCAAGCCTGCTCTGCCATTCAGTAGGATTTTGATTGACCTGAATACTGCATATTCTTGCCTTCCTGCTACCCCATCACCCCTTTTATCACCTTGCTTATCAAGAATCTATATGCCTTACCTTAAAAATGTGCAAAAACTGCCTTCCAAGGAAGAGAGTTCCAAAGATTTGGGATTGTCTGAGCGAAAATTTCTCCCTATCGCTGACTTAAATGGGCAACCACTTATTTTTAAACAGTGAACCCCCGCCCCACTTTGTTCAAGAGTCTCCCACAAGAGGAAAATCCTTTCCACATGCACCCTATCAAGACTTCCCCAAGATCTAATGTGTTTCAAGAGGAATGAAAGACCAATTGATATCAATCTTACCAATACATCTCATTGATACTAAATTCTCAATAATAGCTGGCTAACAAGAAATTATTTCTGCTCCCAGAGCCCCCACCCCATCATCATAAGACTATAAGAAATAGCAACAGGAGTAGGCCGTTCAGTCCCTCGAACTTGCTCCACCATTCAATAGAATCATGGCTGATTTGACATTCCTCAGCTCTACTTTCCTGCCTTCCCCTCCCCCCCCCATAACCTTTGATTCCCCTACTGATCAAGAATCTATCTCAGCCTTAAATATACAAGGATTCTGCCCCCACAGGTCTCTGTGGTAAGGATTTCCAAAGACATGCAATGGTCCTCATCTCAGTCTTAAATTGGTGCCCATTTGTCCCAAAACTGTCCCTTTTCATCCTGGACTCTGTCATGAGGGGAACCTCCTCTCAGCACTTACCCTGCCAACCACTAATGAATCCTATGCATCTCAATGAGATACCTCATTCTTCTAAACTCCATTGAGTACTGTCCCAACCTGGTTAGCCTTTGCTGAACAGACAATCCCTCCATATCATTCTGAAGATGTGTCACAGGATCCGAAATGTTATCTCTGATTTCTCTCCATTAATGCTGAGACCCGCTGAGTTTTTCCAGCAATTTCTGTTTCAGTATCATCCTAGTGAACCTTCTCTGAACTGCTTCCAAGGAAATGATGTATTTTCAGAAATTATGGGACCAAAACTGCTGACAGTACTTCAGATGTGGTCTCACTGGCATCTTATACAGTTACAGTAAGCCTTCCTTACTCTTATACTCCAAACCCGTTGAAATATAGGCTAATATTCCATTAGCCTTCCTGATTACCTCCTGCACTTGTGTGCTTGATTTCTGTGTTACATGCACAAGTACCCTGAACTATGGAATCTAGAACTGTGGCTCCCATTCACCAAATAAGGTGTCAGTCAGCAAAGGACTAAGACGAGAAACAATTTCCTTTGACTCTTTGGAAATCTCTCAGCTGCGGAGTTGAGGTAAAAGTCAGCCATGATCTTATTGAATGACAGAACAGGCTCAAAGGGCTGAATGGCCTACTCTTGCTCTTTTCTTTCTTATGTTCTTATTTTGCAGTAATCTTGAGCAAATGGCTTATTGTCATAAAAAGACCACATTAAAGAACATAGAAATGGTACCTAATCTTTTATCTTCTGCAGGCTTTTTATTATATCTACAGAGGGGGATTGGGAGTGGGAACTAGCTAGCTCCGTTAGCTAGGTCACTCGTATACAGACCAGATTGATCACAAGAGCACAGGATTCGATCAATTTTCTGGCTAAGGAAAACTTAAAGTCTCCATCATCACGTAACCTACAATTAAAAACCACAAAACTTTGTTGTGGCTAAGTGACTTTGCCTTCAGGCAAAGTGGAGGAGAATTCACTTGTATATATTACATCTGAAACACAATGATAGCAATTGCAAACATAAATGAATTGATTAGAAACATTTGTAGAGGCAAGCTCTTTCGTGTCCATTTATTATAGGAAACTATTCTAGATATTGACACATCAAAAATACCCAACTAAAAATATGTTCATATTGTTGATTATATAATTAGATCTATATATGTATATATATGATATATACGTATTTATACACTTACAAACAAGGAACAAGAGTAGGCCACTTGGCCCTTCGAGCCTCTTCCACAACTCAATAAAATCATGGCCGATCTGATTTTAACCTCAACTCTACATTCCTGCATACACCTGTTAGTCCTTCACTTATCTTCATTACTTCAGTTAGTTGTCAATCTTGACACATATAATAACTTTAGCATTTATTATGATTATCTATTATTAATATAATTTTGTAACTTTTTAACCTATTATCATAAGGAGAATGTAGCTAGCTGTGGAATATGACGTGACAAGGCTTGTTGGGCTATGATTTAATACAATGAGTAGGCTGACTTCACAATTCATGAACAACAGAATGACACTACCTGTGAGTTATGTTCAATGCCAGTACCATGTGCCTGTTCATCACTTAATTCAGGTTGTGCTATATTTTAATAAAGCTACTCAAATTGAAATCCTTACTGAAAAAGTTGTTATTTCTATAGAAATTAAACTGATGCAACATTTTCAGTGACATCCTTATGATG